TTATCTGACAATAAAAATAGAATCAAATGAATCTTCCATTATCTTTGTAGAATTATTTGAAGATGGATGAGAATCATTGACAGTAAGTACAGTTGTCCCCCCATATCCACAGGGTTCCCAGGACCCCTCTGGAGAACAAAATCCACAGATATTCCAGCTCCTCAAATAAAATAGTGTCTTACAGTTGGCCTCATATCCACGGGTTCCCATATCTGCAGATTCAACCAATGGTGATCCACCTTTAGTTCCATCTCTTGTGACAACCCCACTGGCATAGTGTCCAAGGTCTCTGCAAGGGACATGCCCAGTTACAAGAGGCACTGAACTCAGGTTGATCCAATGCCATGGTCTGCAATCAGGCATGTTTGGTTCTCCCTGTCTAAATGCCATTTACCAATCAGGGGTTCATTTTTACCAGCAACATAGCAACATAGTTCACAAATCACCTTATCAGGTTGCCGGGGGAACAGTGCTCAAAAGTTAAGGTAAGGTCAAATTCTCATGTAGAAGGGGAAAGGATTTTGTTAATCCTTTACCCACATAGAGGTTTCTGATTGTAATGGATTCTTTTAACATATTCCTAGATTGTACTTGCTAAACATTTGTTTAGGGGTTTTGCACTGATATTCGTATCAGTAAATGTGCATATATGTACACATTTGAAAAGGCTAACTTTTTCGGGTTTAGATAGCAGTGACTTCTCAGGGATAATTTGTAAACATTTCTTTTTTTGATGTTTCGGAAGAGTTTAAATAGGATTGGAACTATCTATTCTTTGAAAGGATGATATGCTCTGATTTTGGTATAACTACAGCTGCTGTGTGTAGGCTGGAAAGCTTGTGACACACGTTATTTTGTGAAAGCATTACCTACGCTCACTTGGAAGATACCGTATATTTCCAGGTATCATTGTGAAAAATAAAAATGTTAGTATATTCACTGCTCCTTTGCATTTATAAGGTATCCTAAGAAAGGGATGGGGTCAGGCAATGGTTGTTTTGCAAGAAGAAATGAAAGGAAATGAGAATATCCAGAAATTTGGGGCCTTCCAGATTTGAAAAAGACAACTGCTCTTATGCCCTGAACATTAATATAAATATAGGGCTACAAGCCTTGTGGCAAGGCTCAGAATAAGGGTTTTGTCCTCCCAAACAACCCTATTATTTCAGCTAGCCTCAAGGTGGCCTCCATTAAGATGAAAGAGTAAGGTATGGACACAAGAAAGCAAAGAAATAAAGCAGGCTTAAGAACCGGGACTAGAAAAGACTTTGGTCATGGTTATCTGCACAAGGAACTGACTGGAAGCAATTAGATCAGAAGCCTATTGGGGTTTTCAGGAAATCTTAAAGCCACGGAAACCATGAGTCTGGCCTGAAAATGTACTGTCTCTGTTAGCCCCTTAAAAGCAACACTCAGGCCTTCAGTGTGTACCAGTAGAAAAAGGACTGTAAAGGATGTACAGCCTCCAAGGAAGGCATATGCTCCAGTAGTCCCTCCTCCTCCTCCTTCTTCTCTTCTCCTCCTTCTTCTTCTTCTTCTTCTTTTTTTTTTTCAATAACAGACATTTATTTCTCACAGTTCTGGAGGCTGAGAAGTTCAAGTTCAAGGTGCCAGAAGATTCAATGTCTGGTGAGGACCGTCTTTCCAGTTTACAGAGGGTCTCTTTGCTGTATTTCATCCTAGTAGCATGGGTAAAAAATTAATGTTGGCTATTACCAATGATGATGATGAGGGTGATAACCTAACGATGGATGATGGTGAAGTCAAGAGGAGAGGATTATTATTTTACTTCCACGTTTTATATTTTAAAACCGTGGACCAGAATGGTTAAATAAGCCAAGGTACACAGCAGGCAAACAGCGCACCAGCACTCAGTTCTGGGGGAGATTCCCAGGCCCAAGCTTCTTACCATGACTCTGCCCATGCTCAGCGGGGTCTCACCTCTGAATGTTGGCCTGTGTTCTCTTCCCTTCTGATGTGGCTCTGGAAGATGAGGGGATGAGGCCGTAGACACAGAGGAGACCTGACTGTCTGACCACAGTACTTCCTCCACTGCCAGGGAGAGCATCTCTGTCATTCCTGCTCATCTGGGACTCAGAACTGCTGTGGGTGAGCAGTTGTGTGTTCCTCATCCTTCTTTTTTCTTAATAGGAGTTTTTGAAGCAGGGATCTTGTCCCTGTGTCACCAGTGCACGTGGGACAAGAGGAGCAATAGCTTGCTTAACAGTTTGCACGACACTGACTCTGAGACCTTGATAGAGACAACATACCTTCTATCCCCTTTGCCCAAACACCACCCCCACTGCATGCCTTTTATTCAGTCTCTGCTCAAAATTCATCTCCCAGAGGCGACCAAATCACTCCACCTGAAATCACAGCCCATCTCTTCCTGTCACCTTATCTTTCCTCACCCTCTTTACACCTCTGTCCTCTCTTCAAAGCACCTATTATTTTGCTCCCCGACTGCAGTGTAAACTCTTTCAAGGACACAACTTTGTCTTGTTCCCAGCTGAAGTCCTGGCACCTAGAAATGGCCAATACATACATGGTAGGCTGTCAATAAATATTTGCTGGGAAAAAGATTAAATAATTGAGAGTTTCTGATTTCCAAGTGTTTGAAGTTGTGTTCATTTGGCTCTGTTTTGCTGTTTATCTGTATCACGTTGTGAGCAGCGATAGAAAATTATTTGTGTGTGAGGAAATTGGGACTTTTCCTTGCAAGGTGGCATTATCTGGTATAAAATCCAGCCACAAGGTTGTCCTACTGGAAAAGTGCAGATACTGCTAAAAGCACGCTGTTTGGTCTGGTTCTTTCTTGTTGGTTTTTAAGGCTGAGAAAGTGACGTGTCAATCCCATGGGAACTCCCTCTCTGTTTTGGAAGGATCACTGGTGGTCGTAACGGCAGCATACTAAGCAGTTAGACCTTGAAATTCCTTTAGAATCTCCTTACTCACAATAAAAAAAAAGTAAAATAAATAAATAAACAAATAAATAAATAAATAAATAAATAAATAAATGCCAAAAAAAAGAATCTCCTCATTCCATGATTCAACAAAGCCTGATATAATTAGCTATGGCTTACTCGAGGGAGAAGGTAACGTCCACCAGGCAGAATTCAGTCCAACCCAATCCAGTTCATTTAACAGATGCTGAATTGAAGCCTTGTGCCAGACATTGTGCTGGGCACAGCGGATATAGTGACAACTGCCCTGGCCCTCCTATTGGTTAGATTAGTGTCTTGAGGGAACCTAGAGTTGGCAGAGAAACAATCACACCACAGTGCATTAAGAGTTACTCTCGGGCACGCATAGGGGTATTGAAGCACATACCACAGGAGTCTCAGCCAAGCAAAAAATCAAAAAGGCTTCCTGAGTGTCAGCTAAGCTTGGACCCAAAGAGAAAGTGGAGAGTGTCCATTTGAAGATGAATGGAGTGTTCTCTAGGCCAAAGAAAAGATACGGGGAAAAAATGAGGCAAGCAGAGAGGGTATTATGCTCTTGCTCCACATAATTCATCTTTTTCACCTGCGGCCTGTCCTCCTTTCCTTCTATCTCCGGTTTTTAGCCTGTAGGTTAGCCCCTTCCTCCCTAATCCTCCATTGCTCAATCCAGGAACCAGTCAACAAGGAAAAGGCTACAGAGTAGCCACTGGACCCTGGAACCAAGCCTGTACTACACTTGCAAAATTTGATTTTCTGCAGAAAAAATAGTTTGTCTCCGACATTTTGGGAGTTCATTAGGAAGATCTGAAATGGATGACACCAAGCTGTTTGCCTAAAATAATGTCCCAAGCCTGAACTGGCATGGATATGTCCTGAGATTAAAATAGAAACTTGTTTTGCTAACAGAAAACAACTTGAAATCAGAGTCATTTAAGTTGAAACCATTATTTTTCCTTTTCTTGCAGAAAATTCCTGTGTTTATACACATAAGAGATCAGGATAGTGAGGTCACTCTCTCACAGAACTTTCCATTAAAAATTTGAAGTTGGAGAAATCTCAAGAAGAAACTAAAGATTGGGGGGGGTATAGGCTAACAAACCCATTCCATAAACATTTATGAGCACCTACTACACTACAGGCACTGAACAAAGAAACTGGCCCTTGTAGAGTTTCCATTCTAGCAGAAAAATAGACATACAAAATAAGAAGTAAGCAAATTATATAGGAAACTATGAGTGAAAGAGCAAAGTAGAACAGACAAGACATCAGGAGGGGACAGGCTGCAATTTTAAATGCGGTGGTCAAGGTATGTCTCCTCGGAGAGGTGACATTTGAGCAAAGACTGAAGTGAGAATGAGCCACACAGATATCTGGGTCCAGTCAGAAGTAGTAGTCAATGGCCCGAGGCGAGAGTGTGCAGGAAAGGAACAGAAGCCAGGGATTAGAGGAAGAGAGGGCATAGGAAACTGGGTCTGAGAGGTATGGGACACCAGATCACTGCCCTGGGCAGTCATTCCGGCTAGGGTTTGGAAAGAGAGGAGACTTGATTAGACTGATGTTTTAACATGCATTTTAGGTTAACCACTGAGTATTTTCATTTGAACACAGTCCTTTGGTACAATACATTTTGCTCTGCAACAGAGCAACAATGGTTGCTCAAAATGGTTTCTGAATGATCTCGGCAAGATCTGGCACCACAAGACTTGTAAGTGTAACTGGCCCGCCTCTCTCTGGCCTGCACGTGCCCCTGGAGGGCAGACGCTGCTGTCCCTCTAAGGTGCTCAGACTGGAGCTGGCAGAGATAGAAACAGTCTGCACGTTTCTTCTTCAAAACTCACTGGAGGGCCAAACATTTCTTTCGGTGGTTACAAAATTTTTAAAAATCTGCCTCTGCCAACTCTGTGGGAGAAGCAAACTCCCGGAGTTTGCCTTTGCTAATTTGTCCAAGTCGTGCTGTGGTTTCACTAAAGGCAGACACTGTTCAGCTCCAGCCCCATAAACCTCTCTCGTCTTGGACTTTGCCCTCCGGTGAAAGCTACGGCTCGCCCCTGCGGTCGCCACCTGTTCGAGAGGAACCCGCGGAGCGCGCACCTCCGCCCGGGGCCCCTTTCCTCCCTGGCTCGCACTTTCCTGCCGAGCGCCCTGCTTTCCCTCGCCGAGGCCGGGCTTGCAACTTTCCTCCCAGCCTGGCACTCGCCCCGCTTGGCTGGTCCCCAAAGACGCTGCCTTCCCGCAGCGCCCCCGCCCCCGAGCTTCCCATCGAGCGGCTGAGCGCCCTCACGCCTCACCCGGGGCCGGGAGAGCGGCGAGTCGAGCGCACGCGCGACCCCCGCCCCTCCCCGCAGGCGGCGCAGCTCCCCCTGCAGCGCCTCCCCTCGCGGGCAGGGAGGCGGAGGGGGCTCCGGACGCCGCGCGGCAGACCTGCTCCGGCTGCGCGCCGCGCCGCTCTCCTCCGAAAGTGGCAGCAGTAGCCGCGGCGGCCGCAGGGGTTCCCGGCTCCCGCAGCTCCTCGAGGGAGGCAGGAGGCGAGCGCGCCTCTCCTGAGCCCCCAGGGCCCCTAACCTGTTCCCCGCGTGCAGCTGCGCCGCCGCCCAGGGCTCGCTGCCCAACATGGATTTCCTCCTGGCGCTGGTGCTTGGGTCTTCGCTCTACCTGCAGGCGGCTGCGGAGTTCGACGGGAGGTGAGTTGTTCCCCGGGGAGCCCTCTCCTCCTCCTTCGCTCGCGAATTTCACACCGTCCTGGGGTCCCTTCTCTCTGCTTTGGTCCAGAAGTTGGGCCACCGCACCGTCTCGGCGGGAGGAGAGCCGTCGAACTACCCTCTCTACCAGTGGCTGCCCGAGGCCTAGAGGGCGCGCCCCCTGCGCGTACGGGGACCCGGCCGTCGCTTTCCCGGGGCGTCTGCGCTGCGAGGCGAGCCGCCCATTCCCGGCTCGGGGAGAAAGGGGGCTCGAGCCTGACGTCTGGGCTCTGACGGTGCGGGTTAGTCTCCCAAGAGGAGGTGGCGCGCGGGACATCCCGTGGTCGGGGAATTCTCACTCTTGATCTAGACGGTTCTGCAGTGGGGAAACTTACAGCGGTCGAGGCCAAATCTCGGCTGGGAGCTGTCAGGGCGGCTCACACAAAGGGTGGGGAGAGGGAGCGACAGGGCTTCCACGGGGGGACATGTTTGCCTCCCCACTTGGTTTCCTTGCGGGAAGGGACTCAAAATAAGGGCTGAAAGAGGGGAACGCTGTTTGTGTGTGTGTGTATATGTGTACGAGCGCACACCCAGCTCCCGAGACCTCGGGCGAGCCTGGCTGCAGCGTGCTCTGACAGGTTCCAACAACCCCAGCTCCGCTCCGCTGTCACTCTGCAGGTCCTCGCGCCGCGGCGCGCGGAGCCCTCTCTCTTGCCTGCCAGATCCGCTCGGGCGACTGTGTGTGTGTGTGTGTGTGTCTGTGTCCGGAGCACGTGCTCGGTTATCACCCCCCACCACCCCTCCACCGCTCAGTTACTGTAGGCCAGACTCGCCCCGAGCGCGGGTCGCTGCTGCTTGTGGGGAAACCAGGCAGGAGCAGCCAGGAAATTTTAACCTGGGTCACAGCACCATCCAGTCTCCCTCACGCCACGACCCCCCACCCCCCCTCCCCCGAGCAGCCGAAAGACTGCCGGCACCTGTTTTACCTGCAATCTTGGAACCAATCAGTTCCACGATTGATTGGCTTTCCTGTACCTGGAAGGAAAGGAGGAGAGCCAGTGAAACGCAGAAGACAAAAAGCACAGCAGTTTGTTTATCACCTGGACCGAGGAAATAGAAAGTTCGGGGTTATTTTGTCCTTTGGGTTTGGGGGCATGAGGCGGAGCTGAAGGAAAGGGGAATTGAAAAGATTAGGAGAGTTTAAGAAAACGTGGGTAGCGGCTGTTTTATTTTATTAAAGCAATTATTTGCCCACCTTCGAGTATGTTGTGCGTTTTTTTTTCACACGTTTGCAATAAGAAATACATCACATGATTATACATAAGGTCTTCATGTAGCTTTTAAAAGGTGTCTAAAACAGGTAATTAAAATATTGATCCTCTGGTTGGGGGGGAGGATCAATATCATTTATTGATGTGTGAATCTAAACAAGGAACCAGTTTACCAAATAAGGTGTCAAAGTGGAATCTGGTGGCAAATGGTACCCTGGAATTGAATGCTTGCTTTAGCCCTTATTTACATTAGAGAGGTCGATAGCACGCATTGTTGGTGCAAGAAAGTTTCAAACCACAAGGACACTTGAGATGTTAGCTACACTTTAAACTCGCCTTGGTTTTATTTAGACTTCTTTCTCAAGTACATTTTTTTTCAGGGAACTGTTTTGGCTGAAAAGTGATGTCTCGAAAAGAGTGCTGTTTCATTTGATTTTGAGAAACTTCCCCCTCTTTCTGCCCCGTCCCACCTGTACCCATTATATAAGGCAGAGAAATTTTCTCTTTCTGCTTTGACACGTCTTATATTATTTAGTACTTTTCCGTTTAAGATGAATCAGTCAAAACTGGCTTTCCCCCCCCAGTAACAGGTGTGGTTCTTTGAGGAATCTGTTTTATTTTAAGCTTCAGAAACCATCCTGTGAGTGGCAGCCTTGAGAATTCCTGGTTTTATCTGGTGCTATTTCCATGTAAGAAAGGATTTTCCCCTCTCTTCCCCCCACCCTTGTGCTTTTGCATGTGTTAACTGTCTGATGTTTGAAATTAGATCATAGCAGAACTATTTCCCTGAAGGTATTTTATCCTTTAATTTCTGCAGGCATGAAGGAGTTCATAGAAAATTGTTAGGTGTGATTTAATTTTTTCTAAAGTAATAACCAAGAGGAAATTAATTTAAAAAGTGCCTCTATTTATTTTGAATCTTTTTGTTTGGCAGGTGGCCCAGGCAAATAGTGTCATCAATTGGCCTGTGTCGTTATGGTGGGAGGATTGACTGCTGCTGGGGCTGGGCCCGCCGGTCCTGGGGACAGTGTCAGCGTGAGTATCATCCCTGGGACTTCACCTTCCTCGGAGGATAGGCTTTCCACCATCAGTCATGGCTTCAGTCTGCACATCAGAGGGCTCATTACTGAGCAAGGCTTGGTGGCGTGGTTCTAACGTGGAAGTTTTCAGTCCCTGACTCCTTATTCTGCCCCTTTCTAGCCTGAGCCACCTCAGTAAGATGCCAGTTTTGTTATTCAGAGAGCCACGTAGGATGCTCATTTTGGCATTTGTCAGGAACATCTCCAGCTCCTGTTTTCCCATCAGGCAGACTCTTTTTTTTTTCCCTCTGGGCTCTGAGATGGGGGTAAGAAAACGAGTCTAGACTGTATTTACACTAAATAAACTCTGAACTTTATTGGCACTTATAAAATCCTAACCGTAGCTGTTGTATAAAGTCACCTGTTTGTAAATTTTTTTTTCTTTTTTTTTGAAGTGAGATTGTATTGACTGGGTTCTAAATGGGCCACCTACTATAATCAAACAACACCTCTGAAAAGCATCATTTTTAAGTTCTAGAGAACTTAACATCATGTAATAAGGACCAAATCAGAACACTGATTCTCACCTTTTCTGTGATCACAAATGGATATTTTAATGGTAGAAATCACAGCCACATCACAGAAGTTTGAGAATTTTGTTGAGTTTGAGAATTTTGTTCCCAGCGTTTTATCTAGATTTTAAAATTTTATCCCACTCTCCCTAACAACAACAAAAACAATCCACTAACGATCAAGTAAGTGTCTGGGGTATCTTGAGAGTGCTAGATTGGTGTGTCTGGTGAGATGGTGAGAGCTGAGTTGGTTCCATATATCCCACCCAGTATTTTACTGCTAATGAGAAAGGGGCTTAGGGAAATAGGGAAGGACAGCTGAGAAGGCTGGAGCTGGAGAGGGTGGAGCCTACCTTAGAGAAGTGTTGGCGGGGTGAGGAATCAGGTAGATTTCAGTTTGGAAAGCTAAGTGTTCCTACAGCTGCTTTAATCTTTGAGAACCACATGTAATGTCTGTCCTGTTCTTGTGAAGGAGGGAGAGTGACTGTCACAGGTTGATGTCTCTAGTTAGGGATGGAAAGGTAAAGGAGGTTAATGTTTGTCTGCCTGCTCCCTGCAAGGTGCTGGGCCAGACTTTTTGTACAGCTGGGTCATTGCTTCTTTGTATAAAGGAAGATGGTAGTAATTCTAGTTTTCAGTAAACAAGAGCACTTAGGTAAAACTTCTGTGACCCTACTGGTTAGTCTCGTACACATTGTCTTTAAAGGAAGATGGGCCAAAAGAAGAATGGTATCTGGTGGAATATAGTCTATCGGCTCTGCCAGGTATCCAAAGTGCACGGCTGGAGGCCACAGGTGTGGAATTTTAAGAGCAATCAGGTGTTAATAAGCTAAGGGTGAAGAGAGAATTCTTCTCTCGACCCAACACATAAAGCTCTCCCAAATAAAAAGTAAGTAGTTTCCTCCTCCTTCATGGCCTTAATTGGCAGGACACCCCCACAGAGAAAGCTGAAGTGCACTGGGGTGTGCAGAGCCCCCCAGCCCCACCCAGGAAAGGCTGCCCTGGCAGAGAGCCCCGGAGTGCACCTTCCCTGAAGGCAGAGTGCCAGGGCGATGGGCAGAAGCAAGCGTAGGAGTGTATTTGCACTCTGCCGGATGTGCTGCAAGAATTCTGGGGAGAAAACTGTCTCTGAGAGGTTCATCGACTGTGGAATTCCCCAGAAAGAACCTTTAGGAGCTGTTCCATGTCTCTTGACCTTCTAATTCAATTTTCCCTAATATAAACATCAGCTTGGCAGTTCAGAATTTGAATGAGTGTAAAGACCTTTGAAAGGTCCAGTGGCATTATGAAATTTAAACATCTCAGGGATTTCCTAACATTTCACTTTCTGCCCAGCTTTCCCAGCAGATACAGGACACTATTTTATTATTTTCTATACTTTCATTCTGTTTCCCAAAGACTACAAACATAGTGTTTGATAGCATTTATGTTTTCCTTCTTATTTTTTTTAAATTACAGTCAATTTACAATGTTGTTTATTTCTGGTGTACAGCATGACTCAGTTTTACATATATATACATATTTCTTTTCATATTCTTTTTCATTATAGGCCATTACAGAGTATTGAATATGATTCCCTGGGTTGTACAGTAGGACCTTGTTGTTTATCTATTTTTATATATGGTATCTTTTCCTTCTTGTTATTGAATCTGAGGAAGCTGCAACATGGCATGAGTTAATTAGTGAAAGGGTAATAAATGTGTAAGGTGATGAGCCCAAATCACAGTCTACCTTAACTTAGATTTGGTGAAAGTTTGAGGGGCAGCATAATGGAGGGAACGTGAACTCTGGAGCTAGACTGCCTGGGTTTAAATTAGTTCCACGTCTTTTTAGCTGTGTGACCTTGAGCGGGTCATTCAGACCCTCTGTGCTTTCTTTTCCTCATCTCTAAAACGGATCTAAAATAGAACTATACCTCAAAGGACCATAACAAAGTCTAAATAAGTTGTTATTTGTAAAGCACTTAAAACCACTCCTGGCATAGAGTAAATACTAAATGTATGTTTGGTGAAATGAAAGAAATGTAAAGGAATACTGCTTTTGAAACAGAGTTGTGGCATGGGAAGTACCCGTGCTATCCGATTCTTTGTTCTTTAGGCATGATATATATATTTTTGCATTTATACTGCCAAAATTAAAAAAATGGTTCCAAGGTTTTCTGTGTTGCAATAAAATGCCTTTAAACTAAAAAGGGCCAGATGGATCCCTACCATTAATATTGTAGATGGCGGAGTTGTAAAAATGAGTTCAAAGATGGATGTTTCCTTGCCTGTGTTTTATTTTTCCAGAATCTCAGATGGTCCAAATGTCTCTCGCCAGTTCAGAGATCCCTTCTGTTTTCATTTTGCTTAAAGAGGTAGAGGAAGGTGGGGGCCGGAGGTCAGCTCAAAGTGAGAAGGAAGAACAGGACCGAAAAGAGGCTTGTTGGGGACAAATGGAAAACTCCTGATTAGTTTCTAAAGAAAGCATCTGTGAAATTAAAGCCTTTGTCACTACATTTATTCCAGGAAAATGCCTTGCTGTTCTTTAACAATTACATCTGGTAATGGGTTACCTATAAACATTCCAAACAGCTTCTGAGAAATTTAATGTGAAAAATGTTTTTGCCTTTCTGACCCTCGGATAATCTCAGAGTTCTTTGCCACAAGGAGCGCTCTCCCTCCCTTATCAAAGGTGCCCTGGTTCTCATTTTTGAATGATTCACTTTGGAATTTTCCTTCAAATCAGCATAGCAAAGCCAAAGGAAACTGTCCCCACCTACACACAGAACCTTCCAATTTGCCCCTGAGAAGATGTGCAAGCTGGGGCGGCCGTACCCTCTGGTGTTGCTTGTTAGAGCTCACACCCCAGTGCAGTGACCCTTTGGTGAGTGTTTATTCCATTTGGTTGAGCATATGCGGGCCATTTTGACTCAGCATTCATGTGAGTCGGGTATATATGCGTTTACACGAAGCATGGTGCGTTTCACTTTCACTTGCTGCCCCCACCCCCCGCCCCGTTTCATGGACTTGTCGTCAGAGAGGACGACGAACATGGCAAGGGGCTTGCATGGCTCAGCCACGAGGCCACATTCAGCCAGACTTCCCGTCCTTCCCTCTGGGGCTGAGGAAGGAAGGATCAGAGACGTTACCCACACAAGCACAGTAGCTTACCTCCTGCTTCCTTCCCCTGCGACCCAGATCCCCTCCCACCTGTGGAGGGCATGACCTGTTCCAGAAATAGGCAGGTTATGTTTTCTTTGTTCTCCTATAGGTCGTAACCCCACCTTCTTTCTATCTTTTGATTCTTTGTTTTGTATTCTTGACTCATAAACAGATCTCTACATGTTGAGAATTCAAAATTAATTGTCTTGGGCTTTACCTTTATTGACTGTTGATGTGGCTCTTGATTTTGTAAAGGGGAAATATTCCTGATATGCTCCTAACACACTGATGGTTACATATTTGTATCGCATGGCACCTTAATCACTCAGATTGTCACAAAATACTCATTTCTTGCTCTGTGATTATTCTGTACCTTAACTTTTCCATCATATTAACTTCACGTATTTAACAATTTCTCTACTACAAAGTGGCGATGTCTGTAACAATGATTTCTCAGGGTTTGTTTATCTGATTTTAAAAAGCCGTGTATGCTGTGGAAACAGTTCTTAACTAAAAGCACTAGACAGTTTGGGACAGCTGAGTCGAGCCCTGACTTTTGTACCTGATTCACTGTTAGCATTGTGCTCAGCTGCAGTTTTCCGGTTGTACAAGTGGGTTTAAGGTGTGAGGGGTATTGCAGCTCTAAACTCCATTTGAGAACTTCCTTAGTATTGAGAAGACTGTACAGGATCTCAATGCTGCACTTCTGTGTGGCCATCCTGTCTACTTGGAGACTTGGCTATATATGTGGCTCTGACGGTCGTGTTTCTAGTTAAAGCACTTTGTAGAGATGCGAAGAAAAACTTGAAATACAGCTAGTTCTAGGTCTCAACACAGCTATTCAGTTTTTGAGTTCTTTGGCTGTCATTTCGCAATTTGTGGCTTCTGAAGGAAATTATGTGAATGAGAGTGGTTTTGTGTCCTTTTTTCCTTAAGACCAGGCAAAATGCAGATATTTTATTTTGTTTCTTTGGAGATTTTGGGAAGATGTAGAACCCACACCTAAAGTTTTATTTTGCTCTATTTGTTCTAAACCTCATCTCCTCCTGCCTCCTCTCTACAACTGTTCAGTTGCCATGTCAGGTGAAAATTTTGGACTCTTATCAGCATTAGATAAGCTTACTGGTTAGTGCAACTTAAGGACCGAGAAACTGATTCATTCTGAAACTGTTTTGGAGTTGTCAAATCAGATAACTTCCCTTGGATAATGTAAATTACTGGCTAATGATCATGGACCACTAGAAAGAATGATGAGCAAATTGTTGAATTCTTTCTATATTTCAAAAGAAAAGGTTATTACT